TTTCCTTTTAAAAATTCATCGATCAGAGATGATAAATAGTCAGTGAAATTTCTTCTTACACCTCAAATCCACTTACAAATACACACATTCTGTTATCTTAGCACACTTTTCGTTACACACTACATGTCTGATACACACTAAAGCAAACACTTGCTTTAAACATGTATTTACAATTGATTGATCAGTAGTTGGTGATCAATATCGTGTATGTCAGGTCCTTTTAAGTACAGATCAAATCCTATCGACCAAGTTGCATTATGGCCATCAATCTAGGTGGCTCAACATTGCTTGCACCGTGATGAGATAAGATGGTGGTTGGAGGTAGGCAGCAAGAAACCCTGGACCGAGGTTTCATGCTACTTAGCATTGACATTGATCATCACCTAGTGATCAAACAATTGTAAATTCATCTCAGTCCTACAGGAGATCAGTCGCGGCCCGGATAGCCCAGTGATAATGTCTCTAACAGTAAGGCTGTGTGATACGAGATCGAATGCTTCAGGGAGTATCAGTTCCTTCAAGACTACAGGTACAGTTTGCTGACAAGTGTCAAGTAGCACGAAACTTAGGTTCAGGGTTTCCTGTTGACTACCTCCAACCACGATCTTATTGTTAACATGATTGGATGACCTATTTAGTATACAATTAACTGAAGAATCATGTATCTATTTATATTCGATAATTTTGATGTTTGATTATAATTTCTTGAAAAAGATTGAACCAGATTGCTGCGCAAAACTTTGACTTTACTTCAACTTCAATCGCTGAAACTTTACAGATAATTCTTCCTCCTTAATGTTTCACATATGAACATATTCCACTGATATTAGTTAATTTCATCCATTCTATTGCTATTATTATTATTATTATTATTATTATTATTATTATTATTATTATTATTATTATTATAGTCCCACTTTTAATCAGTTTACATTATTAGTTGCAATGAACTTTATCTACTTCATAAATCATAATTTTTCATTTGCTATTCGTGTCTTTCACCTTGGTTCACTAAGGTGTTCTATGCTTTCGAATCAACTATTGATCCGTATTACTCTTTAGTATAAAATAGGCTCCATTAATTCTAATATTAATAAGAATGGTTTTATGTTGAATAACGTCATTATTATTATTACTTTCGCTGCTCATAACTTATATGAAAATTAACATAAATGTGACTTTACGTATTGGTTCCATGTGGACACGTAAACAATGAACAAACATGATAATGTAATAGAGAGGTTATAATATTAGATTACGTAGTGTAAATAATAACAAAAGTTTTTGTGTGTGTACAAATAAAACACCTTGTATAATTAATAACTCAGCAACAGAAAGCGGTTTTGTGGAGATTATAGTAATTTAATAGTTGGATTCACGAGTCAATTAAAGCTAGACGTCCATGGAAAACCTGAAAGTATTGGGCGGCAGTTCCGTTCTAGTATGGGACTCCTCAACAGTGCTCATCCACGATCCCTCACAGATTATAATGTGAATAGTGTGAGATAATTAAAACGTTATTGATGCAATAATCAAAGACAACAGGGGGTTAGATGAAGTGAAGTGATATCTATATGATCATGGAGATATGAGAAATAGTTGTAGAGAGAGTGAGAAATTTTGAAATACGAAATAAAATCGTAGTAGCAATAATGGTTTAATTCATTTTTTGTATTAGTTGTTCGAATCATCCCATTGATGTTTAGGAGTGTAATTAATCATTATCTTAATAGCATATGTGCATCCTGTACTGATTGCCTCGATATTGCCTCAAGTCACTAGCATTATAAGCGAAAATGGATGGTGGCTAGTAGTGGAATCAAGGGAGAGTCTTCCGTCCCACTTTGAACTCATCAGATAGACATAGTTTAAGGCTATGATAAGGCTGGGGATAAGACTTAGTTCTCTTGTATGAATAGTTATGGCTTCATTTCAGGGATGGAAAAGAGTTTCTGCTGTTTTAAGGAGTTGGATATTTATTTCAATTTTTAGTCAGTATAAAAGTTAGTTTTTTTCCTTAACTGTGTTGTTTACAGTTATCATCATATATTTGTAAAATTCTTTGACTTGAATAATTCTTCTACTGAAGACTTTCCAAGTTTTTGAAGTGAAGTGTGCTGTAAATGCCACAATGAAAAGTGCACGAAATGTAGGTATCAACTGAAAAAACCTGAGACTATGTTTTAATGGGATGGAAAGCCATGTTGTATTTTAAATCATTATACTGATCAGTCACATCTCAACGGTTTACATAAGATTTTCACTTCCAGTAGCATCAATACAATGAGGATTACTTTCTGGAAAATATTCTGAACATACATATCTTTTAATAAGAAAGTACTTATGAGCGTACCTCTGAACAGTATTTCGATTTGAGTCTTTTAGGAAGCACAATTTCTTCAAACACTAGGTGTGATATACGTTAATAAGCTGAAAAGGTCAAAAAGTGGAACTGTAAAGGATTTGATCAAATAACACACTTTTCAATAAACACTTACAAAGTCAACATTTTATGTAACTCTTTAGTCAGTGAGAGATTACTTTAACGGATTTTCAACCTCATATTGTGTTTATGGACTACTTTATTACGGCTGCGTAGGGTAAGATGTGACAATATCTTCATTATTGTGACAGATTGGGTGTGGATACTTTTGAAAAACCCTCATTCGGATTATTATTATTCAGTGATATAACTCTGCTACTAAAACTGAAGTATGTGGCGAAACTTTCAAGCTTAAATCAGTGTTTACAGTTCATATGCTATAAGACTGAAGCTATTGCCATATCTACTGGGACTTGGTAAAGAAATACACCCGTTTTTTTTATTAAGGCTAATGGTACTACGGGACTTCCCAAATAAATGTTAATATATTACCACACTGTTTAAACCCTAGCTTTCAAATGTGCAATTTGTCTCGGATACCACTTATCTAATTACGCTCTACAAATTTCTTAAAGTTGTTAGATTTCCTAGATATATGAATAAATAAATAAATTGAACGTCATACACTTCTAATTGAGATATCAATTTTTATTCTGTCTAGTGTTCTGCCATTCAGCAATGTCTTTCATTGTTTCATTATCCCTATAATCACACTTTTATTTCAAAATAGTAATAAGAAATCTAGATGAATGTTTTCTTACCACAACTAACCAGAAATTTACTATTTAACTAAAAGAAACTTTTTATCAGAACATTTTGCAAATCCAACCAAGCGTTTTCATCGGTTACATCTAAGTCAAAAATCCAAGTTAACATTCAATAACTTACCGTCATCATAATTTTCATCTTAATTAAATATAAAATCACTAAAATACGAAAATTAAAATATAACCACCACCTCATGCGCCAGTTCATGAAGTACGATTAAATGATGCGCGTTGGTTGTCCTCGACATTGATAGAGATCAATGATCTGTTCGATATTCAGTGACCCAACTACCGCATGATTTGGCTAGGGCTCAGTGACATTTCACTGGCCCTACAGACATTTCGACCGAACCACTTTGGGATGCGGCCAACCTATTGTAAACCTATATGTAAAAATAAATCATGAATAGTTACCAATGTCATTATCCCCTTAAAGTATATCGATACATCTTACTGAAAAGTTTCATGAAACAGAAAGATCACGTTTTTATCCTAGTTACCTCAAGCTATGTACAATCAGACAAATCACACTACAATTTCGGGGGACTTAGCTTAGTTGAAATACTGTAGTGGGCAAGAACACAGGGGGGGATAAACAAATGTATTTGAACACAACATTACAGAAACTCTTAATAAAATCTGAGAACCATACAGTAAATACTTCATTTGGAAAATATCCATCAATTGTCTCAGACTTGAATGTTCCTTCGTTTCCATACCAATCACTCTCTATACTCATTCTCCTTCCCTTCTCTTCGATCTTTTTTTAACCTTCTGCCCCAAGGTATCTCACTTTCGATTAATGATACATACTACTTATATCTATCAACATCAGTAGCACACATCACAATATTATAAAAGTGATTAATAGAATTATATTAACATTCATGACTTGACAATATGATATTTATTACTATTCAATAATTAGATTACTTTATTGTTGATTATAACACCTTTTTTTTCATAATCATCCATAATTGTATATTAGAAATTTATCGTTATTATATATTATTATTGTAATCATAACCATTTGTTAAAATGTTGTTCTGCTGTAAATAACAAAATACTAATGATTAACTATGTTGTAATCAACTTAGTATTATTACCATCATCATTAATATTACTACTATTATTAGTAGTACCATAACTATTATTACCATTGTTATCATTATAACCATTATTATTATTATTATTATTATTATTATTATTATTATTATTATTATTATTATTATTATTATTATTATTCCCGAGTTATTTGTTTTCATAATAGGCAAATTCAAAGTCTGTTGACTAGCCTTTATTGTTTAACATTAACTCATGTTTATTACTGGTTTTTTTGGTATGTATGTACTAACAGATTTTTGTATATTTGATAAAACGTTGGAATGTTTCATTAACAATTCATTGAATGCTTTGTTAAGAATATAAACAATGAGAAATGAAAAATTCTGTAAATGTATATCACTTATATTCTTTTCATTATAACTAATTACTCTTATAATAGTGTTGATAATTTGCATAATCAAAATAATAAATAGACAAGTGATCTAAAGTTGAATTCATACATTCATTTAGGACAGTATACATCATTTAGTAGAGTAATCCGCCTACAGTCTATTTAATACAGAAAGAGTAATTAAAGTGAGTCACTTCAAAATATAACAATGAAATACCTTTCCATTATATTTTATCTAACCAATAATATACGTCTAATGCTTTAAAAAAAGAGTTAAACCTGATTTATGTTGGTGTACTAGAATATGTAGAGGTACAAATAAGCGCCGAAGTACTAATATAAGTGTTTATGTGTGGCAGAATATTTAACTACATATTCTGATAGTATAAGTTGTAAAATTATTAAAAAATTTATAATGAGTCAAACAAATGGACTATTTGATATTCTGTTTAGAGGATTAGTTGATTATGAAACACAGAAAGTGGTACAAATTCATTCAAAGAAAATCGGAGTCACATTTAGACTCATACAATTAGGAATTATTCTCTATGTTGTATTATGGGTGATGATCTATGAAAAGGGTTATCAGTCATTTGATCAAGCAGTGAGTGGAGTGACTGCCAAGTTGAAAGGTGTTGCTTTCGCCAACGTGACTAATAATCCATCACTTGGAGCCACTGTCTGGGATGCGGCTGATTATGTGATACCACCACAACAGAATTCAGCATTCTTTGTGATGACCAATTTGATTTATACACCTGGACAGACATTGGGACATTGTGAAGAATCACACGATGTTTTTGGCAATAGTTGTCACAATGATTCACAATGTCACTCTGGACAGTTAGTTCAACGTGGTAGTGGAATACAAACAGGGAAATGTGTGAATTCAACAAGGCAAGCAAATTTACGTGTTTGTGAAATATATGGTTGGTGTCCTACAGAACACGGTAAAATTCCGAGACCACATTTATTATCATCAGCAGAGAATTTCACTGTAATGATTAAGAATAATATTGAATTTCCTCATTTTCGAGTGAAAAGAAGAAATATTTTAAGTTGGATGAGTCGTTTATTTCTGAAAACATGTTTATATGATCCGAACGACGATAAATTTAAATACTGTCCTGTTTTCCGTCTTGGTGATATATTAAAATATTCTGATCCAGTGAATAAAGATATATGGGAGACTGGTGGTATGGTATCAATTCACATTGAATGGAATTGTAATCTAGATTTCGATGAGGAAAAGTGTTTACCGAAATATGTATTTCGTCGATTAGATGACTTTCAGAGTAATGTGGCGAATGGATGGAATTTCCGATTCAGTCAGCATTACATTGATGGTGGTGTACGTAAACGTAATTTGATTAAAGCTTATGGTATACAGTTTTTCATAACAGTGTATGGAACTGGTGGTAAATTCAATATTTTAACATTTTCAATGAACTTGGGTTCTGGATTGGCACTACTCGGTATAGCTACTATGTTATGCGATTTGATTGTGTTGAATATTACAGAAAAAAGAGACATTTATCGTAAAGCAAAAATTGATTTAATCGCTGAAAAAATAAATGTACACCAGTCTAGTGAAAAACGTAACATTCATGATGATTCTTATCCAGTAGTTAAAGAAACTAAAAGTGATAAGAAACGTCATTTAATAATTCGACGTCATCATGAATTTGTGAGGACACCTGATTCCATTCGTCGATCTCCATTTTCATCGCTAAAGCAATTAATTATTGAAAGAAGTCCATTATCATTTAGAAGATCAACTATTACGCCTATAAACTATATCCCTGAAATAAAATCAAAACAAAATCCCACTTCGTTAATTCAATCTAATTTGTTATCGAAAGCACAGATATCGAAAGAAAATTTAATTACAATCAACCATTATGAACAATCTAAACAAAATTTCACTTCAATTATCAATAAAACAGATAACAATTTCAGTAATGCTTCAATTTTATCTAATAATTCCCATTCATCGATTTCTAATTTATCTGATATGGCAACATTTCAAAAGTCTGATTTCTCAATTAAACCATCTACTACTTTTAGTGTTCATACTACTAATAAACAACAATATTGGAGACAACAAAGACTTCTTCAGGAATGAAAATAAATTTTTTTTTAAAATAAAGAAGTATCCAGAGCATTTTAGATTCAAATATCATTGGAATCACAATTGTGATGATATATGTTAATGAAGTGAATTGTTGAATATAAGTTGTCTTATTCATTACTATTACTATTATGATAGTTGTTTTGTTTTTCAATGAATAAAATCAACAATTTCAATACTGAGTTTCATAGTAATTAATGTTGATGAATAAAAACAGGATTAAAATGGAAATTTTAAAAAATACCGTAAGATTCGTGTTTACTGTTTCATCTTGAAAGTGGTAATTAATAAATTTATTCAGTCCAGTAATTTCATATATTACATTTATGGAATTTTTAATGCGACGGATTGTGATGACTATTGAATTCCAAAGATTTACATAACAGAAATATAAGAGAACGACGAACAGATGTTTAGTCTAAGTGTAAGACGTCTCTGGACTTAGAATCTACTTCATCAGTGGGTTAGGTCAATTAAACAAACGCAATATAGAACATGGCGCAGTTTGCCAGGAGTACAGTTAATCAAATCCAATAGAAACACATTCTGTAACAACTGATGAACAGTGATTGCAAATTCAAACACTCGCATTCCAACACATTTACAAATATCCAACACAAAATAAACATTCACATTCATTTCATTTGATGGAATAATCATAACCTCAAACACATCAACACACAAATTATGGACATTCTTATTCGTCGTCAAAACAACAATATGAAAACCTCTAGTTTGTAAGTCTTTACCAAATGATATCAATTCACTCTGATTAATAGAGTTTATCACGATGGTATTATTCACGAGACTGATTATTACAATGAAGTGAGGATATCTTTTTACCATCTCATGTATTCTGAATTCGTTACTGAATATCAACATTTTCTGAAGACAAATCTTCCAATAGATCAGTTATCTGCATTGGTTATTGCACATGATAACCGTTCTCGACAAAAGAATTTACAATTTCGAATAAATACGATCACGACCAATTACTATACCATGAAATCGTTGATTTAAAAAATGATTAATGACATTGAGTGTCACATTCATTTCATATCAATGACATGTGATGAATCCAGATTTATGTTGATGTATTCAATCAAATCGCCCTAACAACACACCACCACCGTCATCATCATCATCAACAACAACAATCACATCGAAATGTAATGGAACATTTCTGAAATAGCGATATGTAACGTAATTTACAATAATTCCTAATGAAATTTATTATATATATATATATATATATATATATATATATATATATATATATATATATATATATATATATATATATATATATATGCACATCACAACAATTGTCCTCATGTAAATTTCCGTTAAGAAAATGTTTCAACGTACTTCTGATTAGTATTCGTTTCACATGAAAAAAGAAATAGTTAAATTATCGAGGGCATACAGTCAATATGTACTGTCATTTTGTTGTTTCATTTACTACTCAACAGTTTAACAATAAATTAAATGAACAAAAACAGACATAATAGTCTTCAAACGACAGTCTCATTCTTGACTTTTGTAATCAAATGTGAAATACTTCCTGAATCATTTCACTAGAGTTGTGTTAACACTTTACTATACTTTTGATAATGAACTGAACACACACATGGTTAGCAAGAAATAAGGAGACTGCGTTATGTAAAATTAATTAGTTATTCTCAAAAAGATTTCTAACAATCTGATCAATTTCGGAGATGATGAAGGGAATGAAAAAGATTTTATATGAAAAATATTTTTTACCTAAAAATACATATTCCAGACAGGATATAACATAGTCTGCTTTATTTCTTGCTAACCATGTGTGTGTTCAGTTCATTATCAAAAGTATAGTAAAGTGTTAACACAACTCTAGTGAAATGATTCAGGAAGTATTTCACATTTGATTACAAAAGTCAAGAATGAGACTGTCGTTTGAAGACTATTATGTCTGTTTTTGTTCATTTAATTTATTGTTAAACTGTTGAGTAGTAAATGAAACAACAAAATGACAGTACATATTGACTGTATGCCCTCGATAATTTAACTATTTCTTTTTTCATGTGAAACGAATACTAATCAGAAGTACGTTGAAACATTTTCTTAACGGAAATTTACATGAGGACAACTGTTGTTGTGATCTGCATATATATATATATATATATATATATATATATATATATATATATATATATATATATATATATAATAAATTTCATTAGGAATTATTGTAAATTACGTTACATATCGCTATTTCAGAAATGTTCCATTACATTTCGATGTGATTGTTGTTGTTGATGATGATGATGACGGTGGTGGTGTGTTGTTAGGGCGATTTGATTGAATACATCAACATAAATCTGGATTCATCACATGTCATTGATATGAAATGAATGTGACACTCAATGTCATTAATCATTTTTTAAATCAACGACTTCATGGAATAGTAATTGGTCGTGATCGTATTTATTCGAAATTGTAAATTCTTTTGTCGAGAACGGTTATCATGTGCAATAACCAATGCAGATAACTGATCTATTGGAAGATTTGTCTTCAGAAAATGTTGATATTCAGTAACGAATTCAGAATACATGAGATGGTAAAAAGATATCCTCACTTCATTGTAATAATCAGTCTCGTGAATAATACCATCGTGATAAACTCTATTAATCAGAGTGAATTGATATCATTTGGTAAAGACTTACAAACTAGAGGTTTTCATATTGTTGTTTTGACGACGAATAAGAATGTCCATAATTTGTGTGTTGATGTGTTTGAGGTTATGATTATTCCATCAAATGAAATGAATGTGAATGTTTATTTTGTGTTGGATATTTGTAAATGTGTTGGAATGCGAGTGTTTGAATTTGCAATCACTGTTCATCAGTTGTTACAGAATGTGTTTTTATTGGATTTGATTAACTGTACTCCTGGTACTTTAGTGTCCTATTTTACAAAACTCTCATGAGAATTCCCACTATTCAGGTGTTATTATTACGTGTGTATATTGTGTTATCCAGTTTGCGAGAGTATCTCCTTCTGGTGTTCTTCGTAATCGATATTATTTGATATATTATTATTGATTTTGATACTTATATTATTGCAAATGTGCATAACACTGACTCATCGCGTCCAGTTGAAGATAAAGAAACACAACTAGTGATCAAGCGTTAAAAGAAAACATATTTTCAGTAAAATGATTGAAAGTGAGTGGCAGTGTAAATGTGCTTTTTTATGTTGGCCATTTGTGAAAAGGCATCAACTTGGTAAAGTGAATAAACTGTGGCATATTTATAAATCATTTTCCAATATATAAGATGTTATTGATATTGTTAACAGAGGCTCTCTCTGTTATGCGTCAGTTCATTCCGTTGATCAATATATGATAAAACGGTATGCTTATTGTGAAATCTGCTTCAAAAAAGCACCCAATAAACATGATCTAAATTACATTTATTCAGCAGATTTGCTTTTGTTCTTCTACGTATTGATGATAAAAAGAGGTACCACTAAGATTCTTATTTACTGAATATTGGATGCGAATCGCCAATTGCACATAAAATTGTTCATCTGATTTATTATTTGGACCAATTTTATTTCATCTTTGCTCCTACTTTCAATGTGTCAACTCCGGACAACGTAAATATTTTGAAGCAGTTAATATTCATTGATGATGCAAAGATGAAGAGAGTTTTCAATCACAACAACATCTATGATATGTAATTATAGCTCAGCTCGTCCAAACTTTGAAATGTTACTGTTAAGTTTCTAGTCTTTCCTTTCATTTGTACGATTGAACATTATGTCTAATTTTCTATATTCACTGGTCAGAATGGAGAATATGGTGAAGAGACTTTTCACTTGTGATCAACAATCAGAGCAGAATAGATAATCATTAGCTATGAATGTGTGAATAACACTGACAAACTTGAAAGTTTACATTATTTCTAATAGAAAGTTTTAGAAATTCGGTGTTTACTAGTATTTTTCACAATGAAGAACAATACTTTATGCCGTTATTACCAGTGCCGAAAGTACATGAATATGAGTGAATATGATTATAAATGTATTTTGTATGGGGAAGTGATATCACCTGATTGATGATGCATTATTATGAAAGTTTCATTGTAAGACGGTTGATATTGTAATTATCACACCGATTGATTAATATTAGCATACAAACCATGTGTTTTGAATTACTCTACAGAACATTATCTTCAAGCGGCCTGCTTGAATATCTGGGCTACCTGTTCCTGCCATCTGGATATTTCAACAAGTTATCTGTTTTCTTGTTTCTTTTAACACATCATTATGCCTATTAGTCTCATAACCTATTCAGGTGCGTTTGTGAAATGTTTACGACATTTCGCTGTACAAGTTACAAAAGAGACATCATGGTTACTGGCCATATGAATCGAAAAGGATATACATTTATCAGATGTCGATTCCTGAGCCGCTAACATCTAACTGCCGTTCATTTAATATTTATCGCAAGGAACTGATCAATAATAAGAAAGGGAAACTTTTTGAAAAACTTTGTGCTGAGAATTCTATATTGTACCAAAAATATAATATTCAATAAAGCCACTAATAATAATAATATTTTGACAGTCCGAAATGACTGACAATAAAAATGTGTGATACGGTAAACAAAAGTACATACTTTATAATAACTTTGAACATCACAGGTCAACAGAACGTGCGAAATTACTGAGAGTAAGAGATAACTGAGTAACTATTTCATTATAGCTAGTGTATGGCTATGGGGAATTTTCGTGTTTCAATCAAACAACGAACAGTGTTGTGTGTGAGGAATGTAGTCAGAGTTGGAGCGGGATATTATAGGTTGTGGGTTCTACTCCATTCTGTATGAAAGTGGATAGGCACTGCTGAATAATCCCATACTAATACGTAAACACCATCCAGTGTTATCAGGTTTTCAATGGTTATCTAACTTGAAGCAGTTCTTGGTCTCAATGGTATTTCGTTATAGTCAAATATTCGTCAGCTACGAAGACCCGCAGTCATTCGGCGCTATAGAACCGACATCCCCCTTGTCTCCCCTCCTAGACGATGTATTTAGACATTTTGATTTGGGTTTAAGTGACTCCACTTATATTATCCCAGCCAATTAGCGACCACACTTACTTCATTTGTATGGACAATACCAATTAACCGTTTCAGTGGATCCCATCATATTCTTCTACATCCAAACAATTTTTATTATACAATAAAATAAATGACACTGCTTTGTTCATACTCAATAGTTTTTAAATTTATCATTTCGTCTAAGATCCCTGGTTACTTACTTACTTACTTACTTACTTACTTACTTACTTACTTACTTACTTACTTACTTACTTACTTACTTACTTATGTATGTTACCTCTCGTGGAGGAACATAAGCCTACATCCAACCCTGCACTGGGAAATCCTTTCCAGTTGCTATTCATCCTTTTCATGTCTGCTTCCAATTTTTGACGCAATATGTACTTCGGCCTTCCCATTGTCCGTTTCGCTTCAGGATCCCAAGTTAGTGCTTGCTTCATGATGTAGTTTGATTTCAGAAATGTATGTTCTATCCACCTCCAATGTCTTTTCCTAATTTGCTCCTCATCCGGAAGCTGCTTTATCCTCTCCCACAGTAGGCTGTTGCTGACGGTGTTCGACCAACAGATAATGAGTATCTTACGTGGAGAATTGTTTATGAATACTCGTACCTTTCTGATTTTGGTTGTGGTAGTTCTCACGTTTCAGCTCGGTACAGTAGGACTGTCTTGATATTCGTATTGCAGATTCAGATTTTGAAGTTGGTTAACAGTTGTTTTGAGTTCCATATGTTCTTCAATTGTAGGAATACGGCTCTTGCTATGCCAATCTTCGCCTTTACGTCTGCATCGCATCCTACTTGTTCATCGATGATGCTGACCACGTAAGTGAAAGATTCCACATCTTCCAGAGCTTTTCCATCAAGTGTGATTAGGTTGGTGCTCTCTGTGTTGTATTTTAGGATCCTGCGTTTTCCCTTGTGTATGTTGAGGCCTACTGATGCAGAGGCTGCTGCTGGTTGCTAATCCAATAAATATTGATGTAGATCATTTCGTCAGTGTTCATTCATATGTGATTCAATCGATTCCTCTTTTGTACAGGAAGATATATTGAGGAAAACATTCATTGGTATGATCTGATGACGACTGGTTACACCATGCAGTGCCCCAGTTGGTGAATATGAGATGACAGTGAAACTTAATTGGTGGAATGAGTTTTTTTAATATTAGGAACCCGCAAACGTACATTAATAAATACAAACCATTTGTCATGATCAATGAAAACATAATTCAAATTATTACTGAAAGTTCTGGTTACAATAAACTGGCGGAAGTTTGTTTACATGAATATTAGATTTTTATCCAAATACTCATCTATTCACACTGACAGTCATGCATACAGTTAGTCGAGATTTACTTTTTTAATCAAAGGCAACGTAGATTACCCAATTATAGAAATCTCTTATATGTTATCGTATGAGTTTGCATAGTTATCACTATATTTATTCCTGAAACATGCATTTATTTGGATGTGCACATTAACTTATGTAAGCCGTTTAATTTTTCATGTCTTATCTGTCAAAATTGGTAACATTTTTATAATTTGACTCCTGGGATATCTATAGTGTGATCGCTCAGATTGATATTCAATAAATGTATAAAATCAAAGTAGACTTGAATTACACATTTCCGAAACAATTGAATGATACAGTGAGTCACGTGAAAACCATTTACTGAATTCTGATTGACTTTTTAGTGACAATTAAGATCACGAAATAAACAAATATTGTAAACAGAGATGAATGATAGCTACCAGTGGAATCCAAGACGCACGTTTCTTCTTGTTTGGGACTCATCAGCTGGACGTATCTGCATTTCAAAGTTGATTTTCACTGTGGGACTCGAACCCAGTACCGTCCACCTCAAACGCCATCGCGTTATTCACTTAGCTACTGACTCCTAATAGTCACTTGCTTGTGCAACGGGGCGAAGTTTAAATTCAGTGGGTATTGTTTTACTTGAATCTTGCCATTGATGTTTAGCATTGTCCTGGATTTCACTGCTAGGCACACTATCCATTTCTGCTTATCATCTATCGATGTTTAGCACTGGAATCGATCAATCTCTTATTGACATATATGCATCTTATGCAGATTGTCTCGATATTGCCTTAAGTTACAGACAATGTCAGCAGAGACGGTAACATATGTCAATAAGCGACTGATTAATTGAAGCCCTAAAAATCAATGGGAAAGCTCAAACAACCAATATAAGCAAATATGTTCTGAAAAATTAATATTTTCTCAACAGTTGACTGATTAATATATATATATATAATCATGTATTTAAAATTCATTTCAGATAAACAGTGATTATAAAAGCCCGATTTTGGTATTTGATTATAAATAGCATTAAACTGAATTTTTAGTAACCTGGGATAAATGATAATCAACGATTAATATAGAGTTTTACTGAAATACCGAACCGATCAAGACGATTAAAACCTGAATATACTAGACAGCTGTTTCTTCCTATTATGGGACTACTGTGCGGTGCTCGTTCACGACATCGCAAGCCGAAATCGAGCTTCAGTCCGCCCGCGATTATACGCAACCACTTTCCATTGTCTTCGCTAGCAGAATTTCTTGCACTCAACACGTTTTAACTCCATTGGTGATGGCCTGAAGGGGGTATTTCCAGAGTTCTGTCGAAAAGCTGTAGCCAGCGGATCCAAAGCACGTTAGATGTAAGGACAGTAGTTGAAGAAGACATTGTAAGTCAATCGCGCGTTATCGTGTACTGATCGGAGTTGGACTTACATACCATTAGAGTGTGGCTCAGTGGTCTAGAGGTTCAATGTTCGTACGAGAAACCGAAAATATTAATTTCCATTCGAGCTTGCGAGGTCATGGATGTGTACTGATGAGTAGTCCTACGGTTGAATAAAAGGGCTTTCAGGTTTTCAATGGTTCATGGTTTCAGTGAAACTAACTATCCCCACAACCTTGTGCTGATAATGTGAAACTACTCTGACTTAGCTGATTCGCCAATATTTTGTAAGTTATCTTTCAAAAAACGTATCTTAATAGAACTATTGTAAACCTAATCTGATCAACTTTCTCTTCTCATTGTTCTATCGAAATAAGTAATTTCCTAAAATATGTTTTAAATATCCATTTAAGTATTCATAAGTAAGTCATTGTAGGTTATGCAGAATAACATAAGTTAATTTTTAGTCATACTTCTATTGGCCATTTTCATAACCAATTGAGGCTATTTATTCATATGTAAACCAAATACAAAGTCAAATTGGCATAAAACAATTCATAAAGAAAATATTATTGACAGATATTGATTGGACATGTATGGAAAAATGAACTCGAGGCCTAATTATCTTCAAAAATTTAAGTATTTTACCGAATATTGTTAAACATTACTTATTACTTTATAAACTATTGAGCTGATGGGATATTTAAGGAGCCTTGTTGAAGGACTATTGGAATATGAAACACAGAAAGTGGTACAAATTCATTCAAAGAAAATCGGAGTCACATTTAGACTCATACAATTAGGAATTATTCTCTATGTTGTATTATGGGTGATGATGTATGAAAAGGGTTATCAGTCATTTGATCAAGCAGTGAGTGGAGTGACTGCCAAGTTGAAAGGTGTTGCTTTCGCCAACGTGACTAATAATCCATCACTTGGAGCCACTGTCTGGGATGCGGCTGATTATGTGATACCACCACAACAGAATTCAGCATTCTTTGTGATGACCAATTTGATTTATACACCTGGACAGACATTGGGACATTGTGAAGAATCACACGATGTTTTTGGCAATAGTTGTCACAATGATTCACAATGTCACTCTGGACAGTTAGTTCAACGTGGTAGTGGAATACAAACAGGGAAATGTGTGAATTCAACAAGGCAAGCAAATTTACGTGTTTGTGAAATATATGGTTGGTGTCCTACAGAACACGGTGAAATTCCGAGACCACATTTATTATCATCAGCTGAAAATTTCACAGTAATACTGAAAAACAGTATAGAATTTCCACGCTATCGAATAAAGCGCAGGAATATACTTAAATGGATGAGTCGTTTATTTCTGAAAACATGTTTATATAATCCAAATGATGATAAATTGAAATATTGTCCAATTTTCCGTTTAGGTGATATATTAAAATATTCTGATCCAGTGAATAAAGATATATGGGAGACTGGTGGTATGGTATCAATTCACATTGAATGGAATTGTAATCTAGATTTCGATGAGGAAAAGTGTTTACCGAAATATGTATTTCGTCGATTAGATGACTTTCAGAGTAATGTGGCGAATGGATGGAATTTCCGATTCAGTCAGCATTACATTGATGGTGGTGTACGTAAACGTAATTTGATTAAAGCTTATGGTATACAGTTTTTCATAACAGTGTATGGAACTGGTGGTAAATTCAATATTTTAACATTTTCAATGAACTTGGGTTCTGGATTGGCACTACTCGGTATAGCAACTGTTCTATGTGATATGATCATATTGAATACAACAAGAAAACGTAGTGTATATCGTAAAGCTAAAATTGATTATATTGCTGCAAAACGCCGTAAACAACAAGAAGGAGAGTTGAAGAATAAAAGTAAAGTAGATGATTGTGATGAAATGACAAATCGTAATAATAAAACGTTTGAATTAAAACTTTATCCCGGTAATTATCATCCTGATAAAATAAATATTGATAGAGTGAAAATTTGTGATCGAAATAGTTTATTATTCTGTGATCCTGTTTCACATTCCATATGGGTTGATAATAATCAATGTAAAAAACGAGAAATGAGTAAATGTCATTTACTTATTTCAAAAAATGAACAACTTTCTTTAGATCAACCAAGTTTTCTTGGATTTCATTATACTCCATCAACAACATCTTCATCACAAATTATCAATAATAAAAAAGAATCAAAATGTGAAAATAATTCAAAAAATTTCTTAACAAATCCTTTAAATGAATATTTCACTTCTATTCCTTATAAAAATGAGAATAATGCCTCTTTTTTAAAAAAGAATACTATATCAATCAATGATTCGACTTATACTACAACTACATATTCAATACAGAATTCAAAATATATTCAATGTGATTTAAAGTCAACACAATTGTCAACATTTATGAAAGATTCAAATTTAAAAACTACTAATACTACTCATACTACTACTACTAATAATACTACTTATACTGAAATAGAATTATTAAAAACTATTTCAACATTACCAAAATGTTGTACATCATTTATAAAACCAACAATTAATCCCCAACAAAATATTCTTATCTATCCAAGGAAGTAGATTAAAGAAAGAATAAAAAAAAACAAAAAAGACACATACAATTTATTATCATTTATGAAACATCAGAAAAGAATACTGGTTAGTTTGTGAATATCCATGTTTGTTTGCTTTTTGTAAAAAAAAAAAAATAATTTTTTTCTTTTTTTTTTATAAGTAAGAGAGAACAAATTATGTTTTTGTTTATTAAATGATTCGTTAATCTATTTTAAGAAAAAAATTTAGAAGAGTTAAGCAAGATAATATACTTTGGTCAAATACTTCAGTAATGTTTCTATTTTCTTTTTTCTTTTTTTGAAAAATGAATATTTTTTCGGACGAAGAATATTCTTCAACAATTTCTTATCAGGCTACACAATTATCATATCCAAATTAATAATCCATAAAACTGGACAGGTTTAAGGCAGAGTACATTATTATTATTATTACACTTGCTAACGCTTTTGAGGAACTTATTCAGTATCCACCCCTATCTGCTAATTCTTGCTTAATTCATATTATTCTACATATTACGTAATTCCTGATTTGTAATTACATTATTTTCTCTCCCTCTCTGTTACCGCATGTTGACCATATTTATTCTGATCATTGTTTACCGCACAATTTCATTTCACTTATAAACTGATTCAAGTTAACATTTCATATTAGTCAGCTCCAACATTAACGATTTGAATCGATTTTTAATAACAAACAATCCTTAATTCACATATTACAATCTTAAATGATGTACTCTGCCTTAAACTTGGCCAATTTTATGAACTATTAATTTGAATATGATAATTATGTAGCCTGATAAGAAATTATTGAAAAGAATCTTCTTTATTCATATAATTGTGTTTTAATAAAGTGGGAATGTTTCAGCAAATATTTATTCAATAATCAATAGTTTTATGATGGTTTTAATAAGGTTTTCATCAACTGGGAAAAAAGCACACTAAAAATATATTTACTTTTTATTACATAACAAAATATTTTATATTTTAAATGGTTGTTGCTGTTTCTTTCTTTTTTTTCTTGTTTAACCTAATCTATAATAATGTGTTATTGATTAATCTTCAATTCGGTTATTTTTTAACCGAGAGAAAAACTAACAAACAACTTTATTGGATCTTTGACATCACCATAGTAACATACAAATATTTCTGAGGTTGTATATTTTGATTTTTTTTATAAATGGACTTGACAAATATTAAATGTAACTATAATTATTGTATAACAATAAACAAATCATACATAATGAATTAGGAATATGTAAATTATCATTAGCTTTGCTTCTATTCACTTGTTATTTTATTTTTATTTTATGTTAACATCTTGTATTCGGGAATTTCGGTTAATTATTTGTTGTTGCGTGTTCTTACCATGAAATAAAATATAGTTGATGAAACATAAAACATTTTTAAGTAAAGATGGATAAGTGGCGAGTAGTGGAATCCAGGATGTGCGTTTCGTCCTGTTTGGGACTCGTCAGATGGATGTGCCTGCATTTCACAGTTGATGTTCACTCTGGGACTCGAACTTGTCACTTGAGGCTATATGGAGGCAATTCGTACAGGATGCATATATGGCAACATGAAACTGATCAATTGTATTGCTAAATAGCAATGAGAAACAACACTATGTGAATATAAATGGTTGTTTTTTTCATAACCGTCATTTACTAGAACTGTGTAATCATATTTTGATTTATTTGACATAAATCACCTACTCAATGGTCTACAGGTTAATTGTTCGCGAGCGACGCCAAAATTCATGGGGTCAAATCCTGCGAGCAGGATCTTCGAAGCAAGCTGCTGAGGAGTCCTATACTAGGAAGAAACAACAGTTCAGTGCTTCCAGGTTACCCATGTTGATCTAGTATTAATTGACTCATGAATTCAAATATTAAATTTCTACAATCTCATTTTGTTAAGTTAAATCCATCTTCAATGTCATATCCCTATTTGTTATCACGTTAAATTTTCATTATCCATGTAATATTTGAATAGGAATTTAATGTTTTCTATTATCACTTTTAATTTTTGTATAAATCTAACAAAAAGTGAGCAGTAATTTTCACTAGATCCTTTTCATTTACTGTATTATTAAAACAAAATTACATGACTTTCATACATTTAAGTGTTGCATATATAACATAAATGAATGAACTGTCATTTTCATCTGAAACTTTTGAGGAATCTGAAGCTATTTATTTCAAAAATTGACATCAATGAACAACCGTTGAAGACTACAAAAATCTTTGAAGATCTTTTTTCATACTTTGGGAATCTTTATCAGTCTACATTCACAGCTGTGTACAAATTCGAAATGAAAGTCTTTGATAAGTTGTAATGATATTCTTCCATTGAATAAGTGACCAGTATTTTATTTTCACATAACTGTATGACACAATTCATCTTGCAAAGAAAGATGTTTGTCTCAATTTTAACTCAAATAATAACAAGTCTATATATATTTATATTACTATTCAGATTGCTATACGGTTCAAAACATGTGGATTGTTGTCAAATGATTACATTGGAACTTTAAGATAAATTCAATTACCAAATGGTTTAAGTGAAATCATGTTTGAGCCAATTAGTTTAAGATTGTATAGCCTTGAATATAGTTTTCAAATGTTTACAATGCTAACAAGTTATATTTCAGCAAAATAATAACAGTTATGTAGATAGATTTCATAAATGAAATTTACGTGGGTATTTCCACTTTATAAGTTAGATTATTTTCTTAAAACTAAGAATCAACTGTTCAATTATAACAGATTCATGTACTAAGTAAGCTACCAAACTTATGAACAAAAAATTGCATCTAAATTTGATCGAACCATTTCATAGTATTTGGGCATCGAGTTAATGTGAGACATTAAAGAGGAAAAAACTTTTTCAAGGAAATATAATCGAACATTGAATGAGGAAAAGAGAATTCAGCGTAGAAAATTTTATTTTCGACGAAATCATAAACTTAAGCTGTACGTTCGTATATATAGTTATATGGAAAATGTATGTCTATTGGAGGATAGAAAGGATTGTATTACAAAAATGGATTCGAGAATAGATAACAAATGAGGTTAACGTACTAATCAAGGCGTAAGGAAGAACAGAATTTATGGGTCAGATAATAGTCCAATTGACAGATATGAAGAAATTTCACTGGTTGAAATCATGAATCCATTGAAGCTAGACCACCATGGAAAACCTGGAAGCACTGGACGGCCGTTTCGTCCTATTATGGGACTCCTCAGCAGTGTGCATGCACGACCTCGTCCCCTGCGAGATTCGAACCCAGGACCTACTGGACGAAACGGCCGTCCAGTGCTTCCAGGTTTTCCATGGTGGTCTAGCTTCAACTGACTCATGATCTTAATCATTGAAATTAGACTATTATCTGACCTATAAACGATTTTCTTCCTTACCCCTTGATTAGTATGTTAACCTCATTTGTTATTTATTCTCGAATCCATTTTTGTAATACAATCCTTTCTATCCTCCAATAGACATACATTTTCCATATAACTATATATATGAATGTACAGCTTAAGTAAATGATTTCGTCGAAAAGAAAATTTTCTTCGCTGAATTCTATTTTTCTTATTCAATGACACTATGGATTATTTTAATTATAATCGAACATCAAAGTTATCGAATAGCTTGAACCAGATTGACAGACGAAACGTTGAATTTACTACAAATTCATTCGCTAAGATTTTACAAGTACACACTTCTTCAGTGTACCAAACTTTACTTTTAATTTACTAGCGCCTGTTACCCCTAATCGAGCATAGGCCGCCGACCATAATTCTCCAATCCACTCTGTCCTGGGCCTTCCTTTCCAGTTTTGTCAAACTTTTGTTCATTTTTCTCATGTCTGTCTCCCTTTCTCAGCGTAATTTGTTCTTTGATCTTCCTCTTCTCATTTTGCCTTCAGGATTCCATGTGAGGACTTGTCTTGTGATGCAGTTGGCTGCTTTCCTTAATATGATTCCTATCCACTTCCAGCGCTTCTTTATTTCTTGATCTTCTGAGATTTGGTTTGTTCTCTTTTACAGTAAGTTGTTACTGATAGTGTCTGGTCAACGAATCCGAAGTATTTTGCGTAGACAACTGTTAATAAACACTTGTATCTTTTGAATGATGGCTTTCATAGTTCTCCAAGTTTCCCGCCCCATACAGTAGAACTGTCTTCACATTTGTATTAAAAATTCTGACTGTGATGTTGGTTGACGGTTGTTTTGAGTTCCAGATGTTCTTCGATTGTAGATATTTTGCTCTTGTTTTGCCGATCCGCGCCTTTACATCTGCATCAGATCCACCGCGTTCATCAATGATGATGCTTAGTGTAATTCGACTGGTTCATGTTTTGCTGTATCGGGGAAATGTACCAAACATATGATTTGTAAAATGAATACAGTGATTGTTTAATTAAAATGTTTCTTTATTTTTTTATTTTTCTTTTCATTTCGTATTTGAAATTCAATCATTGTTGTTGTTCAATGTTCATTTTTATAAAAATCAATGATGTTAATTAATCATTCAAAAAAACAAAAACCCTCTTTTCATTTAAACTTTCATTACAACTATACGATTCAATAAATCGGAAGGAAAAATTATATTGAATCAATGAACCAGAAAAAGTTTCTCCGAAAAAAATTTTGCTTTTACTGATGAGAATAATTTTTTTAAAACAAAACGGTGTGGAGATTTTAGTCATTTCAAAAGTTGAAATCATGTGTCAATTGACGTTAGACAGTAACACCGTTGGATGTCATCTTAGTGAGCTCGCGCGCAAGACTGATAGGTCCTGGGTTCAAATCTTGTGGGGGGCGGGATAGTGGATGAGTGCTGCTGAGGAATCCCATATTAGGACGAAACGGCCATCCAGTGATACTAGGTCTTTTTTATGGTGATCTAGCTTCAATTGACTCATGATTTCAACTATTGAAATTACGAAAATCTCCACAAAACCCCTTCAGATATATTCATATCAATTTCTGATTAGCTTAAAGTATTATTTAATCAAAGGTTACATACTCATACTAAGTGTTTTTACAACCAATAGATTTGGTGAACTTTTAATAGTTCTACGGACTAGTAATACAATAATATATATGAATCAATGTTTGTATTTTTACCTGTAAAGATAGGTTGTGATGGTCACTGTCGTAGTTCATAGTACGAACATTGGATAAGTGCATTTTTGTTTATTTCCGGTAACAATTAGTTTTAACTTTAGAGTATAAATGAGTCAAACATTTAAACAAAAAAAACTATCTTTGCTTCATTTGATTATAAATTTCAAATTATTCAAGCATATTAAATGATAAACCTTAGTGACTCAATTTTTCATTTAACAGTTTGTAAAAATTTGAAATCATAATTATTTTATTATTTTGAAAAGAACAAATTAATCGATAATGTATTATTTGTCTAGAACATAAGACCTATTAAATGGTTTGAACATATTACAGAAAAAAAAAAATCAAAAACACGAAGTTCAGTGAATGGATCTCTTTTTAACGAATTGATTAACAAGCTGTACAATCGTATATATATATGAAATTTTTTTGTTAAAGTATTAATTCTGTGGTTCTACAAGGGTGAAATTAAAGCAGTTAAAAGTTCTATACTTGATTTTCAGGTTGTATATATGATTCGTTCAAATCTATCTAGATTTCTTCGTATCCAACTCCTAAAAATAACCAAAGCTCTTACCATCCATGAGCTCAAATCAGAATTATGAGTACAAAAGAAGTATGTCTTATCGTTATCGTTACCTTGGCCTTAATTATTATTATTATTATTATTATTATTATTATCATTAATTTATCATTGTTATTATTATTATTGCATTCCCCTTTACTTATGTCTTATATTCTCATTATTTCATTCATAAATACTCATCATTTCATCTTATTTATTTTTACACCTCCATGACCTTTAATTATTGTTACAAGAACATCTCAATTATCTCACTGCATTCACGTTATAATTCGTTACTAACTTATTAAGTCTATTGTTATTATTCATATTATGTAATAAGGTATTATAATCTTTCTACTACGTCATCTTGGTTATTCGTGTTCACATTTCCTCACGGAATAAGTACTTCGAACAAAAAATTTTCATATATATACGATTATACAGCTTGATGATCAATTCGTTGAAAAGAGATCCCTTCACTGAATTTCACGGTTTTAATTTTTAATATGTAAATGGGAATTATCTGTCAATATTACAGAAAGTTTATTAATCATGGTAAACTAGAATGAGTTATGAGAATAGGCTAAAAAATGTGATAAATGAAATATATGGATGTCCAAGGATTCATTTGGTCCTATTGAGTAAATATGGAATCTTTGAAGCGTTTCACTCGATCCTCCCTGTTACTGAGATTGGTTAATAAATTACAACTTTATAGAATCGATGAAACATTTCTTTTTAAAGTAATGGTTCATGAATTTTATAATATTTCAATGCTTTCACAATAATGTTAATCGCTCAGTCAGCTGTAACTTTATGTACATCACTACCCAATTAGCACAAATCGGTTAAATTGTTAGAATTCTCACAATTATGGACGTAGTAACAGTATTCATCGCAACAGGAAAGATTAGGCATTGAAAATAAGATTCAACAAAATATAAATTAG